TTTTTTTTTTTTTCTTAGTTATATAAAAGGTCCTATTAAGGTCTTCTTGGCTGTCTGTTTCTTTATGTATGTAGGTATATTGGATGCATGCAGGGTAAATGCATAATTAATTAGTATATATAGATCTTCTTTGTTATAAATGAATAAAGAGGAGAAAAGAAGAAGAAATATTTTTATTTTTTCTTTTTTAATAGAGGCTAATTGGGGTGTATATACACCATAAAACCCAGCCAGCGTAGTTGCGGTGGTGGGGGAGAAAAGGAAGGAAAAGTAGGGTAAATAAGGGTATAATTGTTTGTGTGAGGTATCATATTATAGGTAATTAATTAATAAATAATAAAAAGTAAATAATAAATAAAAAAGAATATAATTTAGTGTACAAATAGAGGTATAAATAAGGAAGAGAAAAAAAAGAGAGCAATTCAAGTTTCTTCAGTAGTACTACATGCACGTGGGGCCCGACCTCCCTATACAGCTAATTGAAGGATTTTTTGTGGATATATGTTGTTGTTTATGATAAATCTGTATTAAATTAGAGAATATATTTATATTTATATATTTTTTTCTTATATATACCATCAGAATTAATCTTTTTGCGGTGTCTGTACACCCCAACAAGAAAGTATACTTCGCTTTCCTGTATAGGAAGGCGCTTGTGTTATAAGATTGTGTGTAAATTAGGGTTTAATTTGTGCGCTTTTTTATCTTTTTATTCTATATAATAATATAATTAATAATATTAAGCAATATTATCTCTTATTTAGCATATTTATACCATATAAGGAGCTGTATACCGCTCCTTTTCTATATAGCCGCTCTGCGGCAACAGCGCTGCTGTGCTGCAGCTGCTGCATCAGCAGCAAAAGCTGCAGCAGCAACTGTAGCAGCAGCATAAAGCGCAACAAACCTGAATAAATACAATTTTTATCTATATATTAATCTACCATCAACAGTAACACCAACAGCAACACCAACAGCAACAGCAGCAGCAGCAGATCATCATCAATAGTTCTGTATAGTACTACTTGTTGTTGTTGTTGCTGCTGTTGCTGCTGTTGTTGTTATTCTCTCCTGCTGGTTACAGCAGCAGCAACAAGAACAAGAGGAAGAAGAAGAAGGAAGAAGAAGAAGAAGAAGATAAATAAATTATTAGTTTGTTTTATTTTCTGTCTACTATATATATATATATATACACCTTAATTAGCTGCTCTTTTTTTTTTTTTTTTTTTTTTTTTT